ACTTTATCGAGTTTTAATATAATTCTTTTTATCTTTAAAAAAAGTTTTTTTATAATTTAGAACGAAGGGAGTAGTTTTTAAGGAGCGAGAGCCCTGTCATCTGTCAAACGACACGAACGCAAAACGCTGGCGACTTCAGATCCGTGGCTCAGCACTAGGATGAAAACGGATCGGATACGGACGGATATTACCGATATTACATTTGTTTTTATATTTCTAGTCGGAATCAGATTCGAATGCGGATAGTGTTAGCCATACCGGATAGGATATGATACGATTCGATGTCGACATCATAAATATGTGATTTGAGTTTTTGGATACTGATATGGTATCAAATGTTGAATATCCAGACTCGGATACGGACAGATCTAAATATTTCTAAATCTGTGGGCATCTGTCTACTCTTGGAGAAAATACATGTTTGAGAAACACTACTAGGCCATGACTGCAGCCAAACATGAGGCAATGAAGTACCTGCAACAGAATCACAAGAAGCTATGGACCAGAAGTCAGTTAGGCACAGATTCTAAGGTGGATTATGTAACCAATAATTTGGTTGAGTCCTTCAATAACTGGATAAAGGCAGAGAAGGCCAAGCACATTGATGATTTGATGGATACCATAAGGCAAAAACTGTTGATTAAATGGAATACTAGAAAAAAAGGTGGCCAAAAAGTTTGTGGGAAAGATTCTACCTCATGTTATGCAACAGCTGAGGGAAGGCAACTTCAACCTAGATATTGAGGTCATCACAGAACATGATGGAGTTGCTAAAGTTTGTGCTAAGAGAGGACTGGATTCAGATTTGTTGTGGACTTAAGAAACATGACATGTTCCTGTAGGGCTTGGCAATGGTCAGGAATACAATGCAAGCATGCAATTGCCTACATAACATTTATACCTGGTGAAAAGCTAGAAGACCATGTGGATGAATGCTATTCTATGGCCAAATTTAAAGCTGCATATGAAGGTGCCATCCCATCCATTCCTAACAAGTCTATGTGGCCTGATGCCATACATGGATTCTTCATGCATCCTTCCTTGCTTAAGTCCATAGTTGGTAGAAGAAAGAACAGGTACAAAAGGATAGTTCAAGGAGGTAGCAGGAAGAAATCAAAGAGACATGAGTATCCAATATGTCGTGAGTTAGAGCAACATTGGTACACTTGGAAGAATGGGAGTCCAGCAGACATAGCTACAATAGAGGTTGACATGTGAACTTCTCTCAGTTATATTTATTCATATATGATATGAACTACATTAAATAATTTAACATAACTAAAATTTCACCTGCAGGGGTCTACCAAAGAAGAGGGAAAAAAAGCAGCTAAAACTAACATAGAGACAAGCATTATTGTGGCCACAGGGATGATGTTCCCTCCCAATAAGGCAATGGAGAATGTTGTACACAAGAAAAGAAAGAGAAAACCTCTTCTTCATCATCTGTCTCCAAATCTAAGGGGGCAGCAACAAGTACTTCAGTCTCTATTACTACTCATTTCTCTAGAAGATATGCCACTTCTCCATTTCTTTCTAATTTTTTGTAATGCCAACAGCCCATACTAAACTTCATGTTTTATATACCACAAGATTTGGAACTGGATTCAACGAACCAATTCATATTCAAGTTGTGCATCTTGCCCCTTATTTTGAAGATGCTGCACTTTAGCATGAACCACAGGAAGCTTCAACTGCTACAGTTCATACACTAAGGATGAAGATTGGATTAAAGAAGCTTACACCAAGGAAAGATATGTCTGCCACTCCAACTAGGGGAACAAGCAGCAAGGCTCCAGCTGATCCTTTTAGCCCAGCTGAAAATACCAGAAGTAAGAAGCAACTGCTGCTGGAATGAACAAATGTGACTCCACCATTTGTTTTGATGATGCATTGGTGTTGTACTCCTAGAGAACACCTTGGCTTTTGTGGTATGAAATCATTTGGATGGTATGAAATGCTGATGTAATGGAGCTGTAATATTTTGCATGATCAGAACATGTAGTTTATGGTAGTTGCTCTGGACAAACTACTGGTGTTAGATGAAATTGTGGTTTATGGTTTGCATGTTAGTGAACAATCTAAACCATGAGCACTACTTATGTTTGTAATGTATTAAGGTTTGCATGTTGGTGAATAAACAATATGAGAATTTTATATTTCTGCACTGCATTCATCCATCCATCATTGACTCATTCATTCATTGATTCAAGCATACAAACACAGTGACACACACATACATAGGACCCTACTTCTTCATAATTGCATACAAGGCAAGGAAGATGACAACAAAGACCAACTTCTTAATTCATTTGAGCTGCTGCATAACCCTATCTTGCACTACTACTCCACCAGCCTGACCACCTTCCTAGATGAGAGCTATTGGAGTGGGAGTAGGAATAACAGCTGGTACTGGCACTACCTGACCACCCTCCTTAGTGCTATCTATTTATAGGAGCCACCTAGGGAGAGTTTTTGGCGCCAAAGGCCATCAGATTGGCGCCAATGCACCATCAGATAGCCTTTTCTTTCTGAGGGCATGCTTATCTTTTCTCCCATCCATTAGCCACAGTTAGCGCTGCATTTGGATGAAATGACTTCTAAGGCAAAGAAATTTAGCAGCAGTAGCATCTATGTGCGGTTAACTTTTTTAACGACTCATGTGTAATTACAATTTTTTTAATGACACACAGGTAAAAGGCTAACGTTTTCATCCTGCTCAGCATGCCACCAAGCTGTTCGGCCACCACGCCACGGCCCATAGAGAGGGAGAGATTTAACTTTTTATCATTATAAGAATCTGCACCTCCTGAGATCTCACTCTAACGGCTGGCAATACCAATTTAGCACGCAACGAAGAGAAGAGATACAGAATTGCCACTTTTGCACTCGTGGCACGACAGCGCGTTAGTTCAGGTGCGATCCGAGTCAGCACGGGAGTGGCAAATGACCGTGGCTGCCCTTGGCCTATGCTGCTAACCCAGCCGGTGCATTCTAAAAAAAAGAAGAAGAAGGTGGACATAGTGGCCGCTCAGGACCTGGACGGGAGCTTGCCGGCGTGGGCGTGCTCGGCACCAATGGCGAGGGCGAGCTCTACTCGCGTTGTACGCGCACGTAAGGCCTTGGTAGAGGCGAGCATTACCTCTACTCGAGCTCCAGCCATGGGGGGGGGGCGAGCTCGGACCTGGCAGCCATGGCAAGCGCAACACGGCCGCGGGCGAGCTCGGCCCCGGCGGCCATGGCGAGCTCAACGCCGACGCAGACGGCCCCAGCGAGTGCGGCCCCGGTGGCCATGGCGAGCTCGACGCCGATGGCCATGGGGAGCTCGGCTCCGGTCATGGCGAGCTCGTCCCCCGACGCAGGCTTCACTTCTACTCGGCGCTCCTTGCGTCGCTACTTCGCATGCATGAAATCCCGGGTCTTCGTGCTAGTATAAAATGCTGGCCCACGCACAGCATTTGTGATCATTTTCAAGAGCGGATAGCGCAACCCAAACTCACAATCACACAGACGTAAAGAACCACCCAACTAGCAATTTGTAATTGCCCACGAAGATGGCACACGCTGCGGCACGCGATAGTGCCGCCGATCCTCGTCATGCTCCTCCTCTTCGGGCCGTCGACTCCTCAAGGCCGTTGTCCACGGAGGAACGAGCGGCGACCAAGGGCTGATCCCATGGCCCTCGCCGCCGCCGTCCACCATGCCGAAGCCCGCACCACCACCACCGCGACGCCGCCAAAACCGTAAATGGACACGTGGCGGTGGAGACGACGGTGGAGGACGACGGAAGCAAGATTGCTACCCATGCCGAGGAATGTGGCGCCGCCGCGGCATTGTCGGCAACGACGACATCCGCGCGTGGCAAGCAACTGCAGGGCGATGGCGTCGGGTCGAGGAACGTCGAGAGGCTAGCGGCGGCGGTGCAGGTGCTGCTGCGTTCTAGGTTGGCGTGGCGGTTTCTGGCAGCAAGGGTGGTGGGGACGAGCTCGCCATGGCCGCTGGGGCCGTCTGCGTCGACGCTGAGCTCGCCATGGCCGTCTCCGGGACGAGCTCGCCGGGGCATCCTGTGTCGGGGACGAGCTCCCCATGGCCACCGGCGTCGAGCTCGCCATGGCCGCCGAGGCCGAACTCGCTGAGGCCGAGCTCGCCCACGGCCGTGCTGCGCTCGCCATGGCCGCCAGTCTCGAGCTCGACCCTCCCCCATGGCTGGAGCTCGAGTAGAGGTCGTGCTCGCCTCTGCCAAGGCCTTGCGTGCGCGTACAGCACGAGTAGAGCTCGCCCTCACCGTCGATGCCTAGCATGGTCGCGCCGGCAAGCTCCCATCCAGGTCCCAAGTGGCCACTATGTCCACCTTCTTCTTCTTTTTTTAGAATGCACTGGCTGGGTTAGCAGCAAAGGCCAAAGGGGCAGCCGCGGTCATTTACCACTCCCGTGCTAATTCGGATCGCACCTGAACTGACGTGCTATCGTACCACGAGTGTAAAAGTGGTAATTCTATATCTCTTTCCTTTCGTTGCGTGCTAGATTCATATTGTCAGCCGTTAGAGTGAGATATCAGGAGATGCAATTCTTGTAACAACCTATTCATTTGGCTATGACTCATCGTAAATAATCATAAATTTTTAACCACGACAGTATTTTTTTTCTCATACAAACCAGCCAAACGAGTGCTGTTAATCTCGCGTAGAGAGGACACCACTCGTTCGCCAGTTACTCGCACACACACTGACAGCCCCCACTCATCACCTTCCATCATGCTCTTCTGGTCGTCTTCAATCCATCCCCAATTCCTGCATCTCCCAGATTGATCTCCTTCCTTTCCCGGTGGGAAAGCAGCTGTACCTAGGCAGCGAGCCACCCACCCCTCCTGCTCTCCGGCAAACGCGGAGAAAGTGGGCAGGCAAGGTGTCCGCGACGCCGGCACCTCGTCTTGCTCCGCTCCGTGCGGTTCACCTTCTCCCAGCAGCGAGGAGCGGCGCAGACCGAGAGGCCAAGAACCGGATATGAAGCCCGACGCGAGGCAAGATGCCGGCGGTGGCGTGGCAGCATTAGGCGTCTCCTGCTTCGACATCAAGTCCTTCGTCGCCTCCCTCGCGCTGCTCACGCTCGTCATGGCGCTCTGGCAGCTCCACCCTTACCAGCCGCTCCTCTCCGACTCCCGCCCGTCTTCCACCTGCCCCCTGCTCCCCCGCCTTCCCATCTCAGCTTCCTCCCGCGCCGCTGCCACCGTCGCCTCATTTCCTTCCGCCAACTCCAGTGTCAACGCTGCAAGCACCAAGACGGCCTCTTCGGCTGTTCCCGCCGTCACGACGACGAAGCCGGCTGCGTCCGTGCTGCTAGCCGCCCGGCCGCGGGATCCCAACAAGCGGGACTTCCGTTCGTACGGCAGCGCGGCGGCTCTGTTCGTCCAGATGGGCGCGTACCGGGGCGGCCCGCGTACGTTCGCCGTCATTGGGCTAGCCTCCAAGCCGGCACACGTCTATGGCACCCCCTACTTCAAGTGCGAGTGGGTACCCAACCAGGATCCATCGTCGCCGGCGCCGCCGCGGGCCGTTCGTACCAAGGCCTACAAGATGCTGCCGGACTGGGGCTACGGCCGCATCTACACCGTCGTCGTCGTTAATTGCACATTCCCCACCAACCCCAACGCCGACAACCGCGGCGGGAAGCTCCTCATCCACGCATACTACTCGACCGCCTCCCGCCGGTACGAGCGCTTCGTTGCGCTCGAGGAGGCGCGGGGTTCCTACGACGAGTCCCGGTTCCGGCCGCCGTTCCCCTACGAGTACCTGTACTGCGGCTCTTCGCTCTACGGGAATCTCAGCGCAGCTCGCATGAGGGAGTGGCTAGCCTACCACGCGCATTTCTTCGGCCCTGCGTCGCACTTCGTGCTTCACGACGCCGGTGGTGTCAGCCCGGAGGTCAGGGCGGTGCTGGATCCGTGGGTCCGGGCGGGCCGGGTCACCGTCCAGGACATCCGGGCGCAGGCGGAGTACGACGGCTACTACTACAACCAGTTCTTGGTGGTGAACGATTGCCTCCACCGCTACCGGCACGCCGCGAATTGGACCTTCTTCTTCGATGTCGATGAGTACATCTACCTCCCGGACGGCCGGACGCTGCAGGAGGTGCTGGGGCAGCTGGAGCCCTACACGCAGTTCACCATTGAGCAGAACCCCATGTCCAGCAAACTCTGCGTGGAGGATCCAACCATGGAATACTCAAGGTGTGCTATCCTCACCTAATTGTCCTTTCCTAATGTTGATTGTTCCTTCAATTGTTTATGCAATCACTGTTTCTGTCGGAATCTTTCCTAGATTCACGCAATATATGATAGAGTACTAATCTTTGTTACAAGTAGTGTAGGGAGTATTTCAGAAGAGTGCAAGGCATCTCCCGTCATTGTCAATTTGTTACTTGCCGGAGCCACTTGCTTCAATTTGCTACTGACATGAGTCAGCATCTACTAGTTTTTGTTTATGCTTTAGGTTGATTGGGCAGCGCGACTATTTCGTTTCCCCATAAGGTTCCGGGCTGTTTTACCTGGCCCATTCAAAAGAATGTTTGTTACGTTCCTTTAATTAAACTTATATGCATATGGCTAGTAAAAGATTCCTCTCTAGCATTCGGCCATAGAATTAAATGGTTCATTTTATTCCTTTTAAGTACCCATATGTTCAAGCAATGGTATCAGGAATTTCTAGATTCAAGTCAGACTAGCGGGTGATTATAATCATTATTACAAAATACACCATTTTTTAGATTTTTCGTCTAGTTGGGATATTGTTTACTGAGCTGCAGAAAAATCTACAATTGTGACAATTGATGAAATGTTGGAAACACAATCACTGTATTCATCTCAAGGTTCAAAAAAAGTAATTAAACGTCGTTTAATCGTGATTAAGCGCTAAACGCTGGCCTAGCGTTGCGTTTAGGGCCTGTGCGGCCAATTAAACGCTAGGCGCGCCTTGTCGCTGCGCTTACACGCGAGGCGCCATCTAAGCGGCGTGGAAGCGTCGAAAAGCGGCCCTGGACGGCGCTGGCCCACGGGCTTTTGCGCGCAATCGAGCGGGGTTTCGTGCGCGGCGGGCGGGAAAGCACCTCGGACGCGCACGCGTTCGGGAAGAAAGAGCATGCGGGCAGAAAAAAAGTGCTCGCACGGGGAGAGAGCAAAAACAGAGCAAGCACACAGCAGCCGTCCAGTCGTCCAGACTCTCCAACTCACTTCTCTGTTTCTCTCCTCACCGTGTCCGCACGCTGCGACCACAAGCGGAGCGGAGGTGGCGCGCCATGGAGCAGAGAGCGGACAGGGATAGGGGCGCGGGAGCAGATGGGGATGGGAGCGGAAGCTGCTGCGCCTGCATCCGAGACCTGAGAACCGGCGGCGGCTGGTGAGAAACGGCTGGCTGTTAGGGCACTGGTAGCACATATGATGCTTATATGGGCTGTGGGCTTTCCTAAGACAATGGGCTGAGTGGGCTTTATTGACATAACTCTTTATTTCTCATTTATATTTGTTCATATATGCAGCTGCATCTCCATATAAAAATAGATATTATGTTACTGAAACATAAACGTTTAATTGCGTTTAATCATGTTTAATCACGATTAGGCGCTAGTCAGTGGCCTAGCGCCTAACTAGCGCCTAGCGTGTTTTTGAACCTTGATTCATCTATTTGTTGGAAACTTGGAATAGGCTCAGTCAATACCTCTCTTTGCTCTTTCTGGCTTTAGCACACAACTGACAAGTATATGAGACAGCACAAAGTAGCTAGCAACAAAACTTTCTACTATATTGATCCTATAGCTTCACACTACAAGCTTACACTTACGTTCACAACCAAGAACTACTAACTTGATTGTCACAACCAATCACTATATGGTTTCAAAGGCAACAAGGCGAGTTAGGTACACTTTATTGCCTAGGTGACAAGGCGTAATTAGACCCCCAAGGCTAGCTGGGTCCACCTGGACGCCTAGGTAGCGCCTTTGAAGCAGAGACACTACTATTAACTTGATCCTCACTACCAAGCACTGCCACTAACCCTTACACACCATACACAAGCTTCTTCATTTTCTATATCACATAGCTTCAACTTTGAATTTTACAGCCATAAGGGTGCTGCCCCCTTTTGTAGTCCTGTTATCCCGTTGATTGGCTTGGTACAGTAACCATGATGCTACAATAACTGACCGAAACAGCACACCTCACCATCTGCTGTACTACTTTTGCAGGTCATGTTCAAGACAAACTTTGCTGCTAAATGCTAGCTAACTATTAGCTCATGCAACAAGCCAATTTTCTCTTGGACATGAACAACTCGTATTAAAAATTTGCTTCATATTGTGTTCCCTTTGTGGTTACTATAAATTTTGATTTTGCAGCTCTTCTCTGTCCTCTGTTGAAATCCTGTTTAAAACACAAATTGATTTTGGTCTTCGATGATGTGAAATTATTTGGTTTACCATTGTGAGCAATGCTACTTCATGTCCTTAATGAGTTTGTTTCAGCACTTTATTTGTTTTCTCATAATAACTCAAGTTCTGGTTTGTGTACTAGATATTGTATGAAATGCTCTTGCACATGTTTCAAAAATCTAATTATATGTGTAAAACGTGCTGTGTAAAATAGGCAATGGCAGAGCCAAATAGTGGTCTGTGGGGATCTTGTACTTAGGTGCTAACGTTTCTGTGTCCAATTAGTTTTATTTTCGTTGATTCTAGTGCTTCTTATTTAATCTTTATAAATAGGTAGGGCTAGCAGGATTGTGTGTTGACTGGTTTCAGATCACAAGGTACTTATGTGTGAATATTTATAATTGGAGAAATATAATAATATCCCTTGAACACCTAGGCCACTATCTAGCTGAGTAACAGATAACAAGTCAAATTGAAGAGAATACCAATCACCTTGCTAAGCTAGTATTACTGCAGTTGTTATTAGTTCGAGAAGCCCAGTTATTTATCCTTTACTTTTTCATATCTTCCTTCGCGATTTCAAACTGTGCTGTTATTTGGGTCTGTTTGTGGTTCATGTGCTTTCAAGTATAGTTATCTAGAAGGTTGTTTGCCGATTCTGCAGTGGTTTTTGCCGTTACAGATCATAAAGGGATGCTCACAATTAACTTGTGCTCCCAAAAATAGAAATAAATGATTACTTTCAGAAAGCACCTCAAGCCAAACAAAGACTTAAGGTTGACAATTGATACAATGTAATACCAGTCCTTTTGCTACTTTGCGTTTGCATTTTATTGGCAGATCTTGAGTGTGTTGTAACCTTTGTGGTTGTGGCACAGAGCGCATATTGCCCTTTATTTGCTATACTTGAAACATTGTCGTGCTGACTGTTTATTACAAAGGTACCACTATTTTTGATGTTGATTCATTTGATGTCATGATTATTCAGGAAATGGGGTTTTGAGAAACTCGTCTTCCGTAATTCGATCACTGGAGTCAGGCGAGATCGCAAATATGCAATCAAAGCTTGGAACGCATACTCCACAGGTGTACACATGTCCCAAAATGTCATCGGTAGGACAACCCACAAGACAGAAAGCTTGATCCGATACTACCATTATCACAACTCGATCAACGTCATGGGGGAGCCCTGCAGAGAATTCGTGCCGAAACTCACTAATGGAAGCAAGGTAATGTTTGAGGGGATACCATATGTCTATGATGACAACATGAAGCGCATGGCAGGGGAGATCAAACACTTCGAGGAGGAGACACTTGGAACCATCCGTACATAGGATTGGTGCAAAAGCATCGCTGGTACATATACAGTTCTACTATTTAGGATACCTTGAACCCATGCCCATCCATTCCCTGTGACTCAACTTGTGCACTTCGAGCCGCCATTCCAACAAGCAGAAGAAAAGAATCTATCTCGGGTTGAATTAGTGTAAAGTTTCAGTTTCCCTTGGCATTCTCCTGTCTGTGGAGGGCAATGCCTGGATGCTGCATTTCCCCTTTTGTCTCTTTGATGTTGTTTGTATCTCATTATAGATTTGTCTAGACTGACTGTTGGGCTTTATTAGATTTTTCTGAAGTCTTATAGGGCGCAGTGTAAAGTGTCTGAATATTTGACTTAACCTCACTCTGGAGATTGGATCTGAATGAAACTTGTTCCTGGACAAACTGCAGCGCCAGTTCCCATGGCTTTTGTAAGGCTTCGGCAGTGGAGCATGAGGTTTCTTACAAAACAATGGATCTTCTGTTATGTGCACCTATCAGAATAGAGGACAACTCAGCTATGGTGAAGCAGGTTTTTTTCTCAATGGTGAAGCAGTTTTTAACATGTACACTTTGTTAGATATTAATATTTCCATCTTTGCATTTCTCAATGGATGTGCTTGGGACTTCTTTATTAATGTTTCCATCTTTGCATTTCTCTGCTCTAGCCGCTCGCCTCGGGCTATGATAGCAGCTGAAAATTGTGTAATCTTGGAATGTCCTAGGGACAATGGCCTTAATGACTTGGCAAAACAGGCCAGTATTCGGGAACCCAGGTTTGTTCTCATTTGCCTGGAAGAAATAAAGATCCTAAACGAGATGGTCAGCCACAGACCCAACGGACAAATTCAGCAAAGGACATTCTTCAAGTTAGAATCTCTCTTACTCCCTTCGTTCTAAATTATAGTTCGTTTGGTTTTTTTGACCTCAAGTTTGACCACTCATTTTATTCAAAAAAATTGTGCAAACATAGTTAAATATAAGTCATTCTTGAAGAACTTTTGTTAATAAAGCAAGCCATAACAAAATAAGTGATATTTTGCACAAATTTTTGAATAAGACGAGTGGTCAAACTTAAAGTCAAAAAAGCTAAACAAACTATAATTTGGAACGGATTTAGTACAAACCAAATATACTGTCACGGGTGGATGGAAAATCCTGATCGTTGACGGGGGTTTATGGCACACGATTGGACACCGACAAAAGGAGTTTCCTCACGGAACTATTTACCACTAAACAATCAACGTCTCTCCCATGTATCACCGATTAGCTCAAGAGACAAAATACACCAATCCGTTGCCCTTTGGACAACCATTGAAGATGTCTCGACAAACCCATAACTGAAAGATGAAATATGGTGGTTATGGATGGCCGATGTCAGCTACAACAAAGAGTGCATACTCAATCCAATTCAAAGGAAGCTATTCTAGATTGAATTTATCCCTTATCTGGAAGGCGAAAGCGGAACCACGCTGCAAGTTTTTCACATAGACATTAATGCACCAAAAAATCTTGATGGCAAACAATCTACAAAAGAGGAGCTGGCCAAACAATCCTACATTGCATGTCTCAGAAACACCCAAGCACCTTTGTAAAGATCGCCCCTTCACCAAAGAGGTCTGGACAATCATCCTGCCCTGGTTTGATCTTCGGCTTCTTCGAAATCTAGATCTATTAGGCACTATCAATAAAGTGTGGAGGAAAGCAAGGTGCAAAATCTAGAACAGGGAGCGAAGGAATTTGATGGCATTACAATTTATTTTTGTGGAACATTTGGAAAGAGCACAATTAAATAAATTTTCAAAATGCATATTTACAACCTTTGTAGCTCGCTCTTCTGATTAAGGACATTGACCTTTCCAAGCTGATCTTCGGTCAAAATGTTTCAACATAGGCGGTTTGTTCTCTTTGTTCTGTTCAAAGCGGACCATTTTCTGGTGTACGGGGCCCAATTTTCATCTAGCCTGGCTGTACGTTGTGTTTAGGGATGAAAATGGTCGGAAAAAAAAATCCTCTAACCACTTTTGATTTCATTTTTTTATGCAAAAATAAAATCGGAATCTAGAGTGCCGGTCAGGAAAACGCAAAATGGAAAACTCAGGATTCCGGAAACGAAATAATCCAGCTGGATACAAGTCGATAACAATTGGGAACGGGTAAATTAAATCGAGAAGATAGATAGACCATACGAATAATTATTGTTTGTAACATTTGTCTTGCCATCTTGGCACATATTTTACTTTCACTTGGTATATATGTATAGAAAATAAAATAGGGCACATTATTATTAAGTTGTTTTATAGAAAAAAAAGAAAACAAAAGCAAAGAACCATAAAGAAAAAATAAAATTGAAAAAGATAATAAATACACTAGAGGACCTTAACTACTTTGATTTCTCAGGCACACTTAACTTGTATGGATATACAAAGTATTTTTGGAGTTTTAGAAAAAAACCATGATATTGTGAAATACTTTGGTTTTAGAATGCCAAGAAGTATTTGGGTGCAACAAACTTTATGCTTTTGAATACCATGGTATTGCTGAAACTGTAGTTTTTTGGAGTTTTAAAAACTCCACTCTAGACCTCTTTTCTTCTAAACTACAGTTTTGCACATCAGTGGTTCTAAAACTACAGTTTTTTGATACTATGGTTTCTTAATATTACAACATCCAAAACAAGGCCAACCTCCTCCAAGCATTCGGCGCAACATACGTGCATGTATGTCCAGCCGGCCAGGCGAGCACGCAGTACCTTTAGGTAGCGTTTGGTTGGGAGATGAGGTGGGGTGGGATGGTCCCGACTCTGGTTCGTGGGATGGGATGAATCCATTTTCTGTTTGGTTGATGGGATGAACCCATTTTCTGTTTGGTGTGGAGACATCAAAAGTGGGATGAACAACTGACAAGTGGGGCCCACTTGTCATTTTTTTTCTTTTTTTCCCCTTTTCTCCCCCTCTCTCTCCTTATCCTCTCATCCCCAACAACCGCTCGAACCATGTGCGTACTGTGGCGGCTCCGTCGGCAAGCATGGCGCAACCCGCCTTCGCCGCGTGCTACCCTGCTGGCGAGACTAGCCGCGTGCCTCCCGGTGCCTCCTCCGCGGTGTGACAGGGCCAGCCCTAGAGCTCGCGCCTAGGTCCTTTGCGTGGCTCGCCGGGGGCAGAGCTCGCTGGGGTCGGGCACGACGACGTGAGGCGCGGAGCTCGTGCTCACATGGCCGCTAGCCAAGGGCGGAGCTCGTCAGGGCCGGGCACGATGGCGCTAGGGGGTGGAGCTCGTGCTCCCATGGGCTGTGCGCCCCATCTTCCTCGACTCCAGCAACTCCGGTGAGTCTTGCTTCTTCCTTCTTCCTCAACTGTGGCGAACCCCGTCTCCTCTTCTCGTTCTTCTCACGTGCGGCACTCGTGACTCATCCCACTGTGGACACCCCCGTCCGCGGTTTATCTAGGGGGCGAAGCGAGCCTGGATCTTGGGCGAATATTCGCTCGTGGGACGTCCTCACCCCCAGTTGCTTCCGAACCAAACGGCTGTCATCCCGGGGCCATCCCATCCCGTCCCTCCTCATCCCGTCCTTTACCACCACAACATCACAAGTTCGCAACAACAGATAACACCCTACACAGATTAGTCCCACCCTGCTGAGCGAAGAGCGAACCGGCGATGGCTGCCTAGGTAGGTTAAAATGGAAATCTCAATCAAAGGATTGGGAGAGCAGGAAACCTTAATTGTGCGGTTGTTGCTTGGCACAGAGCAAACGATAATCAAGGCGTCTTGGATAGCATTTCTAAGAGTTCCCTAAATTTCTTCCTAATCTTTGTTTTTTTAGCGAGATAAGAAAAAAACCCCTCTCCAACAACTCCTAATCCATCCTCCTAATCTTTTAAAACTTGAAAAAAGTCACCCATGTTCCGCGTAAAGTTACACGCTTCTGAGTCGCGCATATCTTCTCTCCCCACGCGTGTTTATCAGCCAATCTAAAGGTGAAAGGGCATGGAAAGAATAAAGATTAGGAAAGGGTTCCTGACGCAAATGTACGAGAAAGAATATATAAAAGTGGTTAGGATAATTTAGAAATAGTATAGGATTCCTAACGTAAAGTTGTCTTTTATATTTTAGGAGTGGATTATTAGAAACTATTGGAGATGACATTCTTTATTCCTTTCAATATCTTTTTAGGAGTTGTAAAACTCTATGTTTTTGGGAAGAAAATATTGGGTACTCTTGTAGATGCTCTGAGATCTAATTGCTAGCTAGCTAAAATTAGTTTTTAAGAATAATAGATGAGATAATTTGTTAGTAAAGTATTTAACTAGTTGTTAATCAATTAGCTATCCAATTATAGCTAATTTAGACCAATTTTTAGTCCTAAACCCTAACCTGGGAGAAAACGTGAATAACCCGGGAGAAAACGTCAAAACGGTCATGAAAATCATAAAATTGGTTTTGTTTCTATTCATGTGTTTTCTCAACCGTTTTTGACTGAATTTAGGATTTTCTTGACAAAAAGCAAAATGGTCGTGAAAAATCAGAAACGGTGTCGGCCGGTACAGGAGATTTCTGTCCTGTTGTCATCCCTAGTTTTGTTAGCGTCAACTCTGATGATTCCTTTTCCTTCCTGGGGTCTTTCTCTTTTCTCATCTTGTGTAAGCTGTTTGTCCTCATTTCTATATCAGTTGTTTTTTATTCAACAATTTTTGTTCTAATAAATTTGCTTGGTAAATCTCTTGCTGGGCTTTTTTCTTCTAAAGATGGTCGGCTGATATGATCGCTGCGACGGCTAGGTGCCAGCTAGACAGGGTAGACAGACGCAGCTCGCATATCCTGGTAAGATAAAGATACCCTAGCTCATCACTAATGAAAACAGCAGATTTGTCGAGTGCAAAAATATTTGCCGAGTGCATTCTATCGGGCACTCGGCAAATAAGCTATTTGCCGAGTGCTGCAAAAAACACACTCGGCTAAAAATAATGGCACTCGGCAAATAAACTCTTTGCCGAGTGCTAAAAAAACACTCAGC